ATTGATAATAATATTGATTATGATGATCAAATGGACAACCCGAGTGATTATGACTACATAACGATCATGATTTTATTCTAACAAAATAATAGTGTATGGAATTAAACGAATGAACCGTAAAGATGAAATTATGAATAGATATGTTTGTTTGACTATCTTGAATTAAATTATGATTATGAATTATTGAAACATAATTCAAAATGAATATATTGATAAATAAGAAAATGATGTGTATTGTTAAGGACATCTAGAAAAACTTTAAGATATATCCATTAGCTAATTAATGTTAAGACTATCTAGAAGACCTCTAGAATAGATCTCAGAATGAACTTATGAAAACATGAATAGTTGATGAATTAGATATAAATGCATAAACGGGATTCGTAGACCAAACTAAAGGATTACTCGTTTGGGAATGCCCGGTCCAATGTTGATCAATCGCTATATTATTGTTGCCTTAACTGACTACAGTTAAGTGTCCAAAATCATTTGCCTTAAACTAATGATATTTTAAGTGTATGATTGCCTTAACTGACTACAGCTAAGTGTCCGAAATCATTTGCCTTAAACTAATGATAGTTTAAGTGTCTGATTAATAATTGTCTTATTAAGAATAGCAAAGAGCATTGTGATGATCTGGCCTTAGACTAAAAATAGCTAAGAGTATTGTTATGATTTGGCCTTAGACTAAGAATAACTAAGAGCATTATTATTATTTGGCCTTAGATTAAGAATAATTTAAAGGCACTATTGGAATAATATCTGAATTGGATAAAATGTGTTTTATGAACTGAATAATATCAAAACTGTGAATGTCTGAAATGAACATTGTGTGCATGATATCAAATGATTTGATTATGAATTTAGATTCAGTTTATATGGATGTTAGACGCATTAGATATGCTTACTCAGCTTTACCGCTGAGCGTGTAGTGTGTTTTATTCGCTACACGCAGGTAAACAGAAAGAACAATGTGATCCTGGTGGCAGATGGGGCGAGATTGTCGGGATGGATGTGACAAGTTTGAAATGATTTATGATATTTCAATATTAAATTCGCTTCCGCAATATTGTTGAATACTCCGTACTGTTTATATTATGAAAAATATTATTGTGATATATATATATATATATATATATATATATATATATATATATATATATGGGATTGACTCCAGTCAGATGAGACCTTACAGTGAGAAGACATACTACGGTCAGATGACGCAAAGCTCCCCACAAGCCACTGCAAAACTCACCAAAGACAACTACAAAGCTCACCAAACTGTAAGGCAAAGCTCACCATATTTTTTTAACACTTTGAATTTTTTTGAAAAAAATAAAATCAAAGGAAGGGGTGCTTACTAGATTTTGACCGTTGATCGCCACCTTTGACCGCCACCTCCCACCTGCCGCCGTCGGCCACCACCCCGCCGCTGACCGGTGATTGACTGGACTGGACTTTCACACTCACTCATGCACGCGCGCAATGGAATTATGCATTTAGTATTTGATCGAAGTTGTTTAGGGTCAGACATTATCAATGTTAATATAGACATGACACATAGAGTTTGTGCACTTAATAAAGTCAAAGACGCACAAGCATTAAGTGCTAGTTTGGCCATTTGAAGTGTGAGTTGTTACATGGTTGGACTTAATGGGCCTAATACAAAACAAATACTTTTAGGTGGGAACAAGTTATACTACTCAATTGAGAAATCTAGTGCAGTGTGGATAGAAAAAATATCACCACAAATATGTTTCCAACACATACACACAAATGTAAAATATTGAAATTAAATGTGAGTAAGAAAAAAGTATTGTAATTAACACAAACTCAATGCTAGTGATAAGTGAATAAATACAAACATGACACAAAGTGGGAATTTTCAAATACACAAACTACCTTGCTCTAGCTCGACTCACGCCACCAATTTTACAACTCGTCATAAGGAACCCAAGAACTCCACCCTCCTTCACTGAAGAATTGTCTAAATAAACATATCATCCAACCTCTTAAGAGCATTGAAGAAATACAAAAGTCTATTAAAAACAAGTTTGATGCCATCCTTGCCCGGCGCTCTAAAAAGGTTCATGATTTCCAATAAATTTGTGATTAGACAAATTTATCCATGTCAAACATCTACATCCGTGTAGAAGTTTGTCTAATATGCATGTGTAGAATAGATAGAAGTATCATTCTGAAATAATCCAATGTATGTAATGATAATGATATTGCACATGCATAATCTATTACTGTAAAAAATGTTCACGATGTAAAATGCTTGTTTATTTAACAAAAATATAAACCTTCAAAATGCTGGTTGAATCAATGAAAAATGTTCATTAGCCTTATAACACCTCAACCCGCATAACTCGAATACACGAATCAGCGAACCAGGTTGCTTCTAAATTGGTACCCAAACACAACTTAATTTTCAAAAAATTCAAAGTAATACTCAAAAATATAGTTTAACATCCATCGGAGTAATAATCAAAATGTTTGCTAAAGCTTAAGTCATTATTCAAAACACAACTTGGGAATCATGTCCGTAAAAGTAATAGGGCATTTAAATAATAAACAGTAATTCAAAAACATCAAGGACAACACACACCTATTCTCATCCTCATCGTCCTTTGGGATTGGCTCCAAGTTTCTCATTCCCTGGATTACCTACGTGCAACAAAATAACTAACGCTACACGCTCAACATTGAAGTTAAGCGAGAAATATCTAACATACATCTATACTCATAGACGACCTCACTAGAACATATCATCATACGATATCATGCACATAAAAATATACATAACAATGTTATAATAGCTCATAAGATATAACCATACAGAGATACAAGAGCTAAGTACTTCCTCGCTGATTCGATTCGCCTTCTTTCTTATACTTGGTCTTAACCTATGCTAGGTTAAAGCCTAACTAATCTCAACTTGCCTATGGGAGTCATGACCTTCCCTTCCGGAACGAAGGTCAAGATCAAACCAACTCGAGAGTTCCTCGTTGGGTGGGTGAGAATAATGTCCCCTTCGGAATGACAGTTCATAGATCCCCGTGCACACGTTTTTACCAGATAGCTATTGGACCAAGTAGGTACCACATGGCTCTAACTTACTATACTTATGGCACACCTTGCCACTAATCCATTCAGGTCAGTCCCTAGAGTTCTTCTAGGTGATATTTCCAACATCATTAACGCTTCATAATACAACATTTGTAAATCACCAAGGCATTATCAATATATCCAACATAATCAAACAGCAACCTAACACTGGGTGCAGGCACTCGTGTTTACCGTCATGCAACACAAAAAGTATCAGAATAGATCCTTGACGAAAACACAGGTCAACGGACCCTGTTCAAGTACCTTATGGTACCCTTAATGATATGGGGTACCCATCCCACAGTACCTTGGTACCGTCTGCATGGTACGGGGTACCGACCAAAATAGTAGTTGTACTCTTCCGGTAAGCCTGTCACGATAGCCACTACCGACCCGACGGTAAGGCCTACCATCTGTCCGGTACCTAGGTATCGAACGGTCACAGGTTCCGAAAGAGGAGGATGAAAAACACAGAGTGGTGGCGGTAGCACGGTACTGTCCTGGCAGTACCGCCTTACCAACACGACAAGTTCTGATTCTACACTAGCTCGGTTTTTCAACATCCAAGAACATCAAATTCATAACAATAATAATCAATAAGTTCATATTAACATTTCAAACATTATCAAACAATCTTATAACCTTACTCATTCGGATTCATGCTTTTCAACTCACAAACAACATAAACAATATATAAATCACAAAGGGTTTCACGTAACTCAACCGTAACCATTCTACAAACGTAAGATTCAAACTTCCGAATATAACTATGTGTTATATGTCCACGTACTCACCTTGATTATAACGTTTGGAAACTACGATGATAATAACAAAAGCGGGGAACGTGACGACGAACTCCTTCTTCTTCGTTTCTCTTCTTCCTTCTCCTTGGTCTGGTGTTATTCTTCTTCGCTGTTGTTCCGTTCTACGTTCTTCGGTTGGCCAAGTGATGAGAGAGAGCTACGAGAGAGAGGGGTAGAGAGTTTACGTAAATATGAGAAGTGGCCTGAGGGTATAGGCGTTTAGGGAGTGTATAAATATGTTTAGGGTTTTGGGCTCCGTAATTAATTAACGTACTTTGCCCAAAATGCACTTTTTGGGCCCACGGGCTTCAAATCTGAATCCATTTGCACTATTGTTTTCGTTTTGTCGAACCCTACACAACGGTATAAACCTTTTTGTCAAAAGAAGAATATTTCAAAATTACACCGAGTTTGTCTTAGTAATTAATTAATTATTTCTTATTAATTAATCCTCATAGGCCAAGTTTCGGGGCGTTACATTTTTCTCCCCTTAAAATATTTTCGTCCTTCAAATTACCTAAGTCATTGATCACTGAAAAGTTGAGGATACTGAGCTTGCATGGATTCCTCGGTCTCCCAGGTTGCTTCTTCCACATTCACGCGCTAGGATCTATACGAGTTCTTCTTCATAGGTGAGGTTATTTTCTACGGTGACTGCTCCCTTGGGTAAAACATGTGATGGATATGATCGATATCTTTGCAGCACGAACACGTGGAATACGTCATGTATCTTCTGAAGCTCTGGAGGTGACTCCAACCGGTAAGCCATTGGTCCTACTTGTTCAATGACCCGGCATGGTCCAATGAACCTTGGGCTTAGCCTGCCCTTCTTGTTAGAATAAGTGACCAACGCTAGAGGGGGGGTGAATAGCGTTTGATCGTAGAAATCGCAGGAATAAAAAATTAAGAAAGTGAAAGATAAAGAGCGTAGAAAGCGTAAAGGGAGCACACCAAGATTTACCCAGGTTCACCACAACTTGTGGCTAATCTAGCCTCCCGAGAGACTCTCTCGAGCTACACTACTTCCGTTAAGCTTACGGGTGCTTAACAAACCGTTACAACCTGAGAACTCGAGTCCCACGAGCCTCAATACACTTGCTCGGAGATACCGCACTCCAAGACTTCAACCCGAAGGAAAAATACCTTTCCTTCGTACAACCAAGGGAAACAAGCTTCCCTAAACGTGTTTACAACACTAAGAGCACTCAAGAACAAGACTCTCTTTAAGAGTAGATGTTGAGTAAACTATATACACTCAAGAACAACTCAAACTTCACAAATTGGCTCTAGAAAGCTATGGAAAATAATGTTGTTTGGATGCAATGATAATATGAATAAAGTGAAGTGAATTGATGAGAAAAGCAGACCCAAACACCCCTTTTTATAGTGCCAAAATAGGCTCCAACGGACCAATACATTAAAGGGGTGATTGGCTTGATTTATGGGATTGAATAAATTTGGGATCTGCAGGATATTGGCTTCCCATCGATGTTTGGAACTTACCCATCGCTGGTAAGCCAATTTTCCTTCAGTTTTGAAGCCAACGGTTACCTACCCATCGATGGGTAGATGCTTCCCATCGCTGGGTGGGAGGT